CCAGCATTCGTTGAACAGATGAAGCAGTCTAAATTTCGCTTAGGGGCCTGCATATTTATGAGTTCCATGTTAACTCCATCAGGACCAACATGCCTTCCTGTTTTTTATACTGTTCAAGCTTGCTTTAATTCATCCAAGGAGATTGAATCACTGTATTGTTGTAGCGAAGCTCTTCCTCTTTAGGTTCAACAGTTCCAGTACACAAAGTCTTATATAGTGTTCCTTCATTGTTCTTCATTGATTATGCGTATATCTGCAACATCTTTCTCCGTCTGATTTAAATGTCTTAACTCTTTGTAGCGAACATTTGTCTTCCATGTATATCATGTTCGATGGTACTTATAAATCTATCCATGAGTCATTATGCAGATCTTATATTTGTTTAGCGTTATTCATTTTTTGTTTATATTATTCTTTAGCTTCTTGGGTTTTGTTTTGAAGGTTTTTTATATGATATATCTTTATCTTTTATGGATTTCGCTATACAATCGTTCCATACTCTCAGTCCCTTTCTTTTCTTAATGCTTTTTTTCTTTCCTAAAGTTTCATATGCTGTTCTCTATGCATTCCTTTATATTCTGCCTTTCCTTATCCACAATCATCAACAGTTGGACACTTGGCAGAAATTGTTGTAATCGAATTTGATATAGTCTTTTTATGCTTTCTTGTTCAAGTAAGTACACTTTGAAAATTTCCTGACTTGTCTCTTTCCTGGTTCTAATTTCTTCCATTTTGCTACCCAATTGCTATTGTTGCAATCACTAGGTAGTGTCTGAATATATATCACATCCTCGGTGTACTTGTACATCTCATTTGGTTACTAATTTTACATTTGCGATTACATAATCTATCAGTGATCTGAGGCCTCTGGCACTCCAGGTGAACTTGTGTATTCTTTTTCCTGAAAAAGGTAAATCATTTTCAACTTATTGAAGGCTGCAAACTGTTAAGTTTTCTCTCCGTTTTTATTTAAAGTGCTCTTCTCCAATACCCCGACAAACTCCCCCGGAATCGGAATGTTACCAACTCTGGCGTTTAGGTCGCCACAGACGAGGAATTATTTTTGTTTATTTTTGCTTATTTGTTTTTGAAGATCGTCATAAAACGTCCGTGTGTCCTCTTTCCTTCTTCTTCTCGGGGCATACTGCCTATAAGTTATTAAAGTGGCCCTCTCTATTTTGAATTTGCACGTCACAATTCGCTCATTTACAAAGGAATACTCCACTATCCTTTTTTCCACCTCTTGTTAACCTAATTGCTACCCACTACTTGCCCGTCTATTTTGAGTTACTCCACAGTAGATCATCGTATAATGTTTTCATATCTTTTTTACCTTTCAGCTTTTTTTGGTTTCGTTATCACAGAATCTATTCCTTTTTTCGCTTTAGTTTGTTATCTAGTTCTTCTCTTTATTACCTAGCCCTTGACATTCCAGGGTTAGCTAGTTTTAGTCGTGCTCGTAATACCGGAATCGTTTATCCTTGCATGCTTAAGTCGTTTCCATGATCCATCCAGTTTGTGCATTGTGAAGAGGCCGGCTAGTTATTTGAATCCCCTGGCGCGTTACGAGCGCTGCTGCAGGGTTAAGTTTGTAATGGGCTGCCACCTTCAGCAGCTTCCAAACAGCCGGGTGGTATTTTGGGCCACCGACCCTAGCGGATTGCCCTTGTGGGCTAAGAGTTCGCCTAACCCTTTCGAGGACAGTCTCGCCGAGTGTCGAAGCCGAAGATCTACGTCGGAACTTTCTTCTCTTCGTTCAGGTTCCTCTTCTTTGGGGCACTATTCTAACGCCGGTAGTCCTCTTCTGGAAGTACTTCTTCGTCTGACCCCTCCCCTCGACCTGTCCGGGACAGGAGGCCCTACCAGTAGCTACGCTATCCGCACGGCATAGCTCTCAAGGTTCACGGGGGCACACAAGCTCCACCACCATGTCAAGGTCCTGTACTCCCTAGGTGCGGCCAAAAAATAGTTTAATAATGTATGCCGACCCAGAAAGAGATGGTCCTGAAGTGCAGAGCGAAGACGGAACAGGCACTTCTGCCTAATCCCTGATATGGAGAAGGAGAAGGAGGACTATTTTTTGGGGAAAATATATCACTAAAAAGTATCTTCAAACATTCGTAAAAATTCGAGAAAAATTTCAAATGACGTTGAGGCTTCAAAATCCATCAAGTGCCATCAAAATCGAAATATTCGTTTCAAATTCAAGGGATCACAATGTCAGCTAGAACGTTTGGGAAGAATCAATTTTTGGAAAAATCTTGCCGGCGATTTAACACTAGCGTTGTTTGCAGACACACCGACGGGTTTTACCGTAAACCCGTTTTTTGGTATGAAGGATCCATAAAGCGTAGATACAACATGTTTAAAACGCACATATTACTACGCATTGTACTTGAAGTAATTTACTGCACACAAGAACGAGAGTTACTTTTTCGGTAGTATAAGAGCGCCACAATACGAGTTTCTTGTAGAAAAATCGCTGTTTTTTACCGGAACATTACAATACTTTTTCTATGTTACATTAGTTACATGAGGAAGAAAAAGATGCAAATTACATCCACTGTAGAGGAGGCGTTCCACTACACTGACAGCTTGGCTATGTAAATGTTCGAGATATTTAGAAATGTGTTCAAAGAGGCATTTTCAAGGGAGTGCAACTGATAGAAACTACCGACAAAAGCACGTGCGATTTTAGCAACTTTGTCACTAACGCGCTTCTTCTTGAAGTTCATTCAAAAAAACTCACGATGATGCAATTCGATTTTTGAATTTTAGAAACCAAGTTTACGAATGTTATAAAGAACGCAAATTACATAGAACTTATCAAAAATCAAAAATAAAAGAAGAAGAAGAAGAAGAAGAAGAAGAAGAAGAAGAAGAAGAAGAAATAATTACATGTTAATACTTTCTGCAACTTTTCCAGGGGTTATTTTTTCTGGGGAGGGCACCACCCTAGAGCCCTTAAGGAGCAGCCACCATGGCCGAAGGTGAACACAAATTCTCTTCTCTAATTCGACAGTTCATTGAATTCAAATTCCCATTGGAGTGTTTAGAGGTTATAACAGAAGTAAATGAACTATCCGTGACTTCTGGTAAAGTTTTAGGTTTCGATGATGTCATTGAGGCAGAAGTGTCGTCGAGAAAACTTGATCATTCCTCTGCTCTTCAGTAACATTCGTCTGGTCGCCATACGTACACCACAAACTGCCCTCTCCTTTTCGGAAGAAAATGTGTGCGATGAAAATCCGATTCGAAATGTTGCTTTCAGAGGCCATGCTCGGTGCAAGATTATTACGTCTGATATGTGGATATGTTTAAAGAAACAATTTAACGCTGGGCGGTTACGGGGCCCATGTCTACCCCCATACTTATATTTTTAGCATAGATGTAGTGAGTTTTATTTTTATCTGAATTAAATAGTCCTCAAATAAATAATAAATCTAAAAAAATAGAAATATTTTTAAAATCTCAGAAATACTCTGAGAGAACTTTCGCGGGCAGCACGAGCTCAGACGTCGAGTGCAAGGAACCTCTAACACAAGCGAGAGAGCGTTGGCACAAAACAACAAATCTGACTCAAACCTGGGACCGCTTCCGCCATTGCTGAAACTGTGACGTCAGGCGTCAGCAAGCGTGGGTTTTGACGGACGCCAAACAGCCCATATTTCCATTTCCTGGAATTTAAAGGGAAGCTTTAGTAAGTGCGTCAGAGACATTTTTCTCAACTGTAAGATGTTCTTGCAATTTTTTTTGTTTTGTCATTCAGCGTGGCTTCCACATGTAGAATTTTTTTATAGCTTTATTTGATTTAAAAACCTGGCTTCGAAATCGCTTCCGTCTTGTCGCATACACCAGGACGTCGTGTAGAAGTTGCTCGTGTAATGCAAGAAGGTCTTGTTTTTATATACATTTGCACCTGTGATCTCAATAAACGCACGCATAATACACGCCCACTGTATCAGTCAACGTGACTACTCACGAAAGAGAAGGGAAAGGCGCTCACCAGGTAGCTGGTTTTAGAACGTTTAGAAGGTTTTTTATGTGGCTTTATCAGAGAAGCCATGTTTCGCAAGCGGCTACTCGCAAAATTTAGTATTTTATTTTTATCATCTTCCATTTGTGCAAGGGCGTGAAAGATCCGAAAGCCTGATTTGCAGCCATTTAGGGTAACAAAGACCGCTTTAGTATATAGTTTAATTAACAAGAGACAGCGCTATTTAAATGCAATGTCGATGGCGGTCTGATCAAAACCTTAGCGAATAGAAGAAATGAAATCTCTTTTATTCATTATCAGAACTATTTCAAAAGAGATACGTTACAAATAGAAAGGTCTGCAATCGGCTTTGCAGTTGCACAATTCTTTTCAATTCGATAAAGGAAATGTACACTTCGGTGACATCTAAATTACCAGATTCTTGGTTGTCCGGGAGTAGCGGCATCCGAGTCATATTTGTCGTGTTGCGACCTTCTTGGGGGCATGCAATTTCATGCAAACCATTTCAAACTATTACTTTTCATTTCATGCAAACCATTTCATTTGACGAGCATGGTTGGAATTTCGCCCTGAGGAAGGTCGCGGTACGACGGCCGAAACATTAGCAAATCAAGAATCTATTGATTCCGGCTGCGGAAACCCATGTTTTCATTTAAATTACTTATTAAAAAATCAAGCTTTCACCCCCTACAGACATTGTTACGTATGAACCTACGGCCGTATAGATGCAGCCCAATAAAGCCTTTAATTTCAAATACATAAAGTACTTAGGGTTATTAAAGTATAAATTGTGTGCTAAAAGTAATTTTTATTTGAACTGAGTGCGCATTGAGCGCTTTCCATAAGTAAATATTATTGGAGAAATAAATACATAATTATTACTCTAGTTTTGCAATACTATGTTATTCCTTAAATTTGTAATTCAAATATTCAATTATTAATTGATTCTATACTCTTAAAATAATACAATTCTTTAATTTCATTTTCCCATATTCTCTTCCAGCAATTTCCCGAATATGGAGAAACTGGACAAGGGACCCAAAGAAATTTTTACTCCTGATATTCAAAAGGTATTATGGAAATCTTACCTATCTAATTAAAATTTTATTCTTTGCTATAATATTATTTTATTTGCATTAATTTTTTTTCTGTTAAAAACAAATATGAATGTGTTATATGCATTCTTCAAATGAAATTATTGTATTACAAGAATGTTTTTCAGTGTCTTTATCACTATTTACATGAAAGGGCATTTTCAGGATCTTCTTCTCTTAGAAGAACAAGAGGGATCGGTGAACTTCAAATTTGGTGTCTTGTATGCTAAACCTGGTCAGACGAGTGATGACGAAATGTTTAGCAATGGTAAATTGATATCTGTCTGGTTTTAGTATAATTGTAATTAATCAATTGTAATTGATTTTGGATTGATCCACACAATTTTCTTCCTTTTCAGAAAATGGAAGTTCAGATTTTGATAGATTTATTAATCTTCTAGGAGGTAAAATTCGCCTCAAAAGTTGGGATAAATATAGAGGAGGTCTTGATGTCAAAGGTAAATATTTCATTACGTATTTTAGCATTACTTTCAGAAATTTTACTCTACTTTACTTTAAACAAATTGTTGATTGGAAATAAATAAATTGGAAAAAAAAATTAAAAAAATTCGAAATAAATAAACGACTGAAAAATACATAAATAAAACATAATATTTAACTTTGCACTTTATTTTGAGTATAAAACTACTAGTTTTCATGATTTTGTTTCATTATAGGTGACATGACCGGACGATATTCTATATATACTATCTATGAAGGCCATGAAATTATGTTCCACGTTTCTACTCTTTTGCCTTACTCTAAAGATAATCGTCAACAGGTGAATATTAGAATCTTGTAATATACTCATAAATGTATGTAGTTCATATTTTCCCCTATTTTTCATAATAGAAGCAACTTTCTTTCTTTCTAGGTGGAGAGGAAACGACATATTGGCAATGACATTGTGAATATAGTCTTTCTAGATGGAGGATCTTCTGAAATGAATCATTTTAACCCATCTTTTATAAAGTCTCAATTTACTCGTATCCTTTTGTCAAATTAATGAATGGGCTAACTAACCAAGGGGTATTTATGAATCACAAACATGTATTATAGTCATCAAGGCTATATACATCTCTATATATTTATATATGTATTATAGCCATCAGGGCTATATATTTCATCATTAGTCACGCCTGCCTCACCTCTCAATTTGATCCTGTCCCACTGACCTGGAACGCCTGTTTTTTCGTCTAGCCTGCACCATCCACTTCACCCCTTCCGCCCCAGATGCTCCTCCCGCCTTGTGTGTGTGCCTTCACCGTTTGTTTTGCCCCTCTCCCCCCCCCCCTGCGTGTGCACCCTTCCCGCCCCTGAACTTTGCCCCGCCCCCCCTTTGTTCAGCACATCACCCACCTGCCACGCGGATACGTTGGCTGTATTGTGTGCTTAACTGTTCTTCGTCTGTCTCTCTTCGTTCTCTCTCGTTCCTTTCTCTCGTTCTCTCTCGTCCTCTCTCTCTCGTTTCTCTCTCTCTCATCTCTTCTCTCTCGCGTTCTCTCTCTCGCTTCTTCTCTCGTTCTCTCTCTCTCGCTTCTCTCCTCTCGTTCTCTCTCTCGTTCTCTCTCTCGTTTCTCTCTCTCTCGTTCTCTCTCTCTCTCGTTCTCTCTCTCTCCGTTCTCTGCTCTTCGTTCTCTCTTCCTCGTTCTCTCTCTCGTTCGTCTCTCTCTCGTTCTCTCGCTCTGGCTTCTCTCTCTCTCGTTCTCTCTCTTCTCGTTCTCTCCTCTCGTGCTCGGTGGCTCTCGTGCTGCTCGTTCTCTCTCTCTCGTTCTCTCTCTCTCGTTCTCTCGTCTCTCGTTCTCCTCTCTCTCGTTCTCTCCTTCTCGTCTGCTCTCGTCTCGTCGTTGCTCTCTCTTCTCGTTCTCTCTCTTCGTCTCTCTCTTCTCTCTCGTTTTCTCTCTCTCTCGTTCTTCTCTCTCGTTCTCGCTCTCTCGTTCTCGTTCTCTCCTCTCGTTCTCGTCTCTTCTCTCGGTTTCTCTCTCTCTCTCGTTCTCTCTCTCTTTCTCGTTCTCCTTCCGCTCGTTTTCTTCTCTCGTGCGGTTCTCCTCCCTCTAATTGAAAAATTGAAACATGGGACTTTTATTTTGCCCAAAAATGTTCGGTGAAGCAAACAAATTTTTAGAGTTTATGGTTTAAGAAGATCTCTTTAAATTTTCAAAATTTGTTAATTGGTAAAGGAAAAACACGACAAAAAACTGGAGATGTTTGCAATTTTCGGAAGAAAAGATTCTGAAGCCTTTTCCAGAGAAATGAGGACCTACATCAATGTTTTAAGCGTAATTTACGCTATCAGGGAACAACAATCAATCAAAAAGTTGGAGCAAGTTTTGAGAAAATTTTGGAAATATTGAGCTTTAATGAAAATGTTGAGGTTCCCAAATAAAATATCCGTTTCAAATTCGTAGCGCCTTCAGCTCGGTCGGGAAATATCAAATGTTTAGGCGCTAGAATTGACCTCAGACAGACTGACAGGCGGACGTTTTGTCTCCAATCGATTTTTCGGAGTCAAGGACCCACAAAACATGGAATCTGAGCACATAGTATTAGAGGATGCCACTTACTACATTTAGGAAGAAGATATACTTACTTTTCCGTTCGGGGCTAGGCAATGAGAGTTCTGACTAAAAATCGCCGATTTCCGATGCACGATTACAATACTTTCTTTTCGTAGGAAGTAATCCGAGAAAGTAAATCATGTACAGTACATTGCCATGAAGTTATACGTAGTGGCGTGACGTTTGGGCCTGCCAGGCCCGCAATACGGGCGGGCCCAAGTAAAACAGAGCCTATTTTAGGGGATATGTTTATTATTTAAAGTAGTAACATTACGTGTGTTTGTTATTCGGTTTGATAAAGGGGGCCCAGATAAAAATTTTGCGAGCGGGCACGCACTCATTTTGTTACGCTACTGGTAATAAGTATCATATTATTTCCAATTTTATTAATCAAGTTTATTCCCTTAACTTCCTTAACTTTTGTTCAGATGTATTTGCTCTTGTGACTCATGAAACTACAGATGACACATACAGACTTCATGTATTTTCAGAAGAATCAGTTCCTCTTTTTGGCCCATCTCTTCCTTGTCCCCCTGCATTTAGAAACTCACAGGAATTTCGAGAATTTTTGCTTGTTAAAAGTAAGAGCTAATGCCACATTATTTTACTCTCACTTTCTGATCACAATACTTCAATGATTTTTATTTCAACAGTGATTAATGGTGAGAAAGCTGCTTTCAACACCCCAACATTTTCTCAGAAACGAGAAAGAACATTGGATATGCTCATAAAAGATCTGTATTCTGAGCATATGAACGATAGTAGAGGGGTAAGTATATAATATAATGAGTATGTTTTGTATGAAGTAAAATCTAAAGTGTATCACGAACCCTTTTAGAAAGGAGATGGAAATGGAAAGGATAGGACCGGTTGTCATTCATGTTTGAACCTAAAGTATCAAATTTACATGTATACACACACACACAAACACACACATACACACACACATGCACGCACGCACGCAGATATGGCGAATTTATTGTGAAGAAATATTTATGGATCACTTTTATACTGGTTTCCATGAGAAGCACTGAATTAGAATTTCTACTTATGAAAATGTAGAAAAGTTTCATAAATGATTTACTTTTACTTTAAATAATTTTTAATATAAAACGATGATATGTGTTTTAATTTACAAGTGAATATAATACAATACTTCAAAAAATATTCTTTCTATTATTAAATCTATTCTCTCAAAAAACATCTCTTTTAATTGAGTTGATTTTGACTGATTCAGAAATGATTCTTAAATTGCATATTTTAAATATAGTTAATTTGAAAATAAAACAAAATATTTTTATTCATGTTTCTGTTACTACAACTGTTTCTACTAAAAAATATTGAATTGAATTTAAATGCAATGCCAAGCTTTAAAATATTACATTTTAAAATTAAGTTTATTATTAATTTTAAAAACATAAATTCTCAAATTATATATCATTTTAAATTGTATTTATAATTTTTGACAATATTTTCTGAATGCGTACTCACATTTTGCTCAAAAAATATCAATCATATACTTTTAAAAAAATAAAATCCTTTGAGATTAATACATAATAAAAGTATATTTTCCTAAACATTGAAAATACTTCATCTTTTTCTGTGTGATAATGATTTTCCAGAATTTCATCTTAAGGAGTATTTCATGAAATATTCTTTTGAAAATATACAATATTCTTTCCTTATTTATTTAGTTAATAAACTTGCATATCAGGCATCATCCAAAAGTAACAAAATTCCAAGAACACAAAACAAATTAATATTTCAGATACACACATTCACTTCCACTTTTAGTGACCCTAATGTCTACAGGTGTTAGTGTGTGGCAATGCGACTAATTTTGTTGGAAGGAGGAGAAAGTTCATATTAAGAAGTAAAAGTCATTGAGCATTCACTCTTTCTTGTTTCAATCATCCTTGTAAGAACTCACATTAAGAAAGAAGAATGGCCAATATTGTCATTTTAAGAAACCATAATATATTTTTGTTAATTATTTTCAATAATTATTAATTTACTACTTAATAGTATTTTATTGTATTACTAGCTATGAACCAACAACTTGCATTGCATAGGATCTTGAATGTATTTATACAAGGTTCATTTACAAAATAGAAATAAATTGTAAAAATATTTAATTTTTTGACAATTCTTTTACAGTAATATTAAAATTAATTCTTCAGTAAAGTTTATTTATACTCTATGTATTTGGTTTTACAATCAGGAGCAAGGACCAATATTATTGTGGAATTCCCTATTACTGATAATTTTCTATATATTGCAACTTCATCTGAGCATGACCCTCTATTAATAACATATAGAAATATATTTCTAAAATTTATTGAGAAAAAAACTGTAACCACTGAATAGTCGATTATTATTTCTTAATTCTTTTAAACTATGATCAACATCAATAGAAGCATTGTTGGCCATTGTGCATTAGAGTCATACAATGAAAACAGAGGCTTGAAGCATGTTACATCATGGACTGTTTTTAGAAATACCACAAATGGCACTGCGGTCTTTGTTTCTTTTTTCATCTTCAATTAAGTTAATTAAATGAGGACCTTTTGCCTGTACCACTAGCTGCATGAAAAAATGTACAGCAAGCAGTGGTTTCAAAGCTTTTCAATATCTATTCATAAATTTGCCTTTATGTGAAATTTAATTTTGGTTCCTATTTTCCGCAATCCAATCAAGTTAATTTGAGTCATAGTTCAATTGAATCAATTCAAAATTCTGTCATTTGTGTGATTGATTTGCTTCCTGTAGTTTTACGTATGTTTATTTTTTCATCTACTTTAGTTTTTCTCTAATCTATATGTTTTCTTGTGCATTTTTCCAGAATATGCTAAATCGAAGGGCTTTTAGTGATGTTCTTCCTGATCCTCCTCGTGGATCTAGGAGAAAAGAAGAAGCTCGGCAAGTTGAGTTTGTAAGAATAGGTCAGGCTCTGAAATTAGACACTATTGTGAAAGGAGATGCTCCAACAAGCTTGGCCACTACTGGTTTGTTTAAACGGGCCCCTTGGGAACCTCATTGCTTTTATCCAGATTTTAGTAATGAAATAGTTTGTGGTGATTCTTGGGGAGATACGCGACTTCTTGTCTCTACAGAATCTGGCACATACCTTATTGAAGGTTGGTACTGTTAAGCAGAGTAATA